TGTTAAGAGAGAAGCAATTTCAGCCAAGAATACTGTACCCAGCAAGATTATCTTTCAGGTGGGAAGAAAAGACAACAACATTTTCAGATAAACAAAACCTGAAAGAATTTACCAGCACCAGACCAGATCTCAAAGAAGTTCTCAAGGATGTGCTATATCAGGAAAATTAAATATAGGCACACGAAAATAAGAGTTCAAAAACTAAGAAAGTGGCCAACTTAATCATAGGGACAAGTCTGGAGTTGAATACTATATCCCAGAATTTAATCAGGAAAATTGAACCAGAACAGAAGTACATGAGACTGATAGGTTCATGCACCTACCATTTGAACAGAATCCTAACCTGTTTCCTGGCTTTAAGCAAAGTTCCTTGGCGGTTCTTTGATTTAAGTTAAAACTGGTTTTCTTAGTAGTAATGAGTGAACTCACCATTGAAAGCAGTTAGGTTATGTAGGAAATTGTGTGATCAATGCAATGTAGGTGGGAAGGGAATGGAGGACAATTTTGGACACTGAAGGTGGTGTGAAAGGAGGGTGGGAAGGGACAGAGGGTCAGAAAGAGGGGTGGAAATAATTCTACAAACTAGAATTGGAAAATTTTTTTTTGTAATATGCATGATTGAGTCACTATGCAGTGTGTACTGGATGGGAGATTGCATTTTGAGTGTTGTGATGATGCTTAGGGAAGGAATGTAAATTGAGTTACAAAAAAAGTTTCAGGAAAAAAAATATATCTATTCAATGACTGCAGTAGGATATGTAGCCCCAGCTAGGTGCTACTTTTATAGGATGCGTAAAGTTAGACTTATGCTCATGGAAATGTGTATGTCACCTGTGTTTGCTATGAGGATATTTGGATTGATTAGGGTCTTTGGTGATTCAATAAAATGTGGGGGGAAAACGGTATAGAAAGCAAACATAGATACCAGAGACAGTGTGGGAAGAGAGCGGGAGGTGGCAGAGGGTAAGAGATAGGGAACCAAGGATGGGGGGGAAAAAGCAAAACATACACAAAACAAGAAATAGAAGATCATTTGCTGACAACGTGTTTGTTGATGTGATTGATTGAGACAATATACAGTATACTCTTGGATGGAAAATCTCATTTTGTATGTTGTAATGATGTACAGTGAATGAACACAAATAAATAAATTAAAAAAAAAAAAAAGAGGAAATACTCGACCACTAAATCCAGGATCGAAAAGAAAAAGAAGAGAAGGTTCTTGCGACTGTCACAAAACCAGTTGGTGGAGACAAGAATGATGGTACCCGGGTGGTTAAACTGCACAACATGCCTAGGTGTTATCCTACTGAAGATGTGCCTCAAAAGCTATTGAGCCACGGTAAAAAAAAAACCTTCAGTCAGCATGCAAGAGAGCTGCGAGCTAGCATCACTCCTGGGACCATTCTGATCATTCTCACTGGATGCCACAAAGCAAGAGAGTGGTTTTCCTGAAGCAACTGAGCAGTGGCTTGCTACTTGTAACCAGACTGCTGGTTCTCAGTCGAATTCCACTATGAAGAACACACCAGAAATCTGTCATTGCCACCTCCACGAAAATTGATATTAGCAAAGTAAAAATCCCAAAGCACCTTACCGATGCTTGCTTCAAGAAAAAAACTGTGGAAGCCCAGACACCAGGAAGGTGAGATCTTCAACACAGAGGAGGAGAAATAACGAGATTTCAGAGCAGCGCAAGGTTGATCAGAAAGCTGTGGACTCGCAAATTTTACCAAAAATCAAAGCTGTTCCTCAGCTCCAGGGCTACCTGCTATCTGTGTTTGCCCTTATAAATGGAGTTTATCCTCTCAAATTGGTGTTCTAATTTTTTTGCCAAGAACCTAATTAAATAACTGATCATTAAAAAAAAAAAAAGATGGGAAACTTGGCAATAAGGAGGTTGTTGGTGACTTTAGAGGAGTGGCAGTATAGAATGCAAATGTCTGGGAATGAATTGGGAGATGAAGTGGAAGAAGCAGCTGCTGTATCGAGAGGCCAGATGTACACGGGATACTACAAGGACAAAGAGGGGTGTTTAACCCATTCTGAGCAGGTTAGGCAAAGTTTTCCAAGGGAGATTGTCACTACATGAATCTAAAGGATGAATTGAGGCTTACAATATAAGAACAAAAAAGCAAGACAGAAAAGAGAGATGTAGAGTAAAAGCAGTTTTAGGTGAGTGTGAAGTTGCAGGACAGAGAAGATGACAGATTAAGCTGTAGAGGGAGGCAGGAGCCACGTTATCAAGAACCTTGTCTGTCATAATCAAATATCTATTGAGCATTTACTACGTATTAGAGATTATGCCAAGCCTTCCTCTTGAACGCTTCAAGGTGCACTACATTATCCCATTTAGTCCTACTAGATGTCCAGCAAATTAGGTATTTATCATTATTTTACCAGCAAGGAACCTGAAACTTAAAGTGAGTAAGTAGTTTGCCCCAGGTCTCACAGGAAGTGTGGCAAATTCAAGATTTAAACTGAGGCTGGTCAATTCAGAGCCATGCTCTTAACTTCTTTGCTATTCTGCCATAGTTGAATAACTTTAACCTTTAAGTCAAGGGGCAGAAAACAGTGTTTTGAATTTTTATAAAATTGACATTTCAATATCAGGAGAATTCATAGAACACTTCAAATAGCCATTTTCCGTTGACATAATTTTGGGAAACACCAGCATAGAGGGGGGTAAAAATGGCAAGAGAGGGCCTGGCAGCTAAGGGCATGGGACTCCCAGATGCCAAGTTCCGTTCAAGTCCTAGACCTGGCAGCTTGCTTTTTCACTTTCTCTCTCTCTCTCTCTCTCTCTCTCTCTCTCTCACTCACTCACTCACTCACTATCACTTTGTCCCTCTCTGGTCAAATTTAAATAAATAAATAAATAATTCTTTTTTAAAAAATGAGAATAGGTTGTATTAGGAGTTTATCTTTTAAATCTAGTCTCTGTACATCCTCACAGCTTAATTCATGAGCTCAGCATATCTTATATAACATAATCACAGCAGTTTTCTAATTGGTTTCTTTCAACCATAATTTTGGCTCCCTCCTTTCTTACCCCCCTCTTACCCTACTCCTCTGCAAAGGTCATCTTATTTCATCTTATAAACCTTTGGTGAATCTTCCTTTTGACCACAAGAAATGTATATTCCTCAGCATGTTATAAAAAGCCTTTTATGATCCAAACTTTAATTCTAACCACCCTCTCACATGTACCCCCTGTTCCCACTACCCTAGCCTTCTCAGTATTTTACCCAATACACATCTTCATTTCTCCAGTCCTAGTGTAGCTTCTCTAAATTTCCCTGGTCCAATAAATGAGTTACTTACTCACTCTGCTTCCTTGATACATATATATACACACACACATTCACATATATATATACACACACACATACATACATACATACATATACACATACATACATATACTTTTTTTTTTCTGGGCTGCATCCTATCATTATGTAATTATTGGCTTGTATATGATATGTATCCCCAGACTGGACTGTGAGCCCTTTACACACAGGATTCAAGTCTTGTTCATCTTTGTATACTTAGTGCTCAGCACTTGGCCTATCAGCAATTTAAATGTATGAAATGTTTGCTGTGTGAATAAATAAACGGATGTAGGAATACAGAAACCCTAAACCAAGCGTGCTTTGCTGCCACTAAATCAACTTCTAAGTTTATTTCGTTGCCTTAAATTCATCATTGTAAATGTAATCAAATTAATCAGCACCGTCATCACTACTGTGTAGTGATCTCTTACTAAGTACCTTGTATTTTTCTAAGCACTTTCTGTATATTAATTTATTTACTTCTCATAACAATCAGATGAAGAAATAGGCATAGAGAATTAGGTTGACTTACTGAAAAAACACATACCTAGTAAATAAAGGAACTATAATACAATCCCTGGCATCAAGTTATTAATGCCATTTTTTGAGTCCAGCATGGATTTTCTGCCTAGCCCCTTAGGCGTTGATTTTTTACAGCATTCATTTTTCCTTCATGTTTCTCTTTCCACACACTGTCCCATCTTCCTTTCACCGAGACCAACTCACTGAGTTAGAGCATTGTTTTCCACTAATCCCAAAAGCAGGATACGTATGGTCCTTTCGAGTTTTGTTAATTTTTCATTTTTTAAAAAAGTTTTACTCTTAAGGAGATAGAATAATTAATAAGCATGAAAAAGTTATAAACAGACTTCTCACTAAGTTATCCCCTCTGGTCCTAATTCTGAATTTCTTGCCAAATGGTATCTAAAATGTGTGGTGTTCTTTGCTCTCATCTTTACCTTGAAACATGGCCCGCATGGTCCACCCTTTCTCTAAGGCCTAGGTCCTGTAGATTTGGCTGGTCTCTGCTCATAGCCTGGTCTTGTGTTTTAGGTATGAAAATGAGATGAGAGCAGGACAGAAACTGTGAAGACTGTCTAGTCTGGTACCTTCATCTTTATTAGCATGCATTTTAGAGGGCTTGAGCCTTCTGACTTCAGAATGTTTTCCCGTAGCAGTTAAGATTCCTCACTAATAATCGGTCACCTATGTGATATCCTGAAGGGTTACAAGATAACATTGAAGCATCTTTATCTTATGCTTTTAGGCTTTAGAAAATTTGCGTGTATACCTCTGTGAGAAGATAATAGCTGAGAGACATTTTGATCATCTACGAGCAAAAAAAATACTCAGTAGAGAAGACACTGAAGAAATTTCTTGCCGAACATCAAGTCGAAAAAGGGCTGGAAAATTGTTAGACTACTTACAAGAAAACCCCAAAGGACTAGACACCCTCGTTGAATCAATTCGGCGAGAAAAAACACAGAACTTTCTTATACAGAAGATTACAGATGAAGTGCTGAAACTTAGAAATATAAAACTAGAACATCTGAAAGGTAAGATAATATTAGGTCCCTAAGAGCTCATTTAAATGTACTAGTGTTTGGGCCAGTCCAGTAGCACAGAGGTTAAGGTCTGTGCAGAGGAAGCCAGATTCATGTGGCCAACCACACTTTGAATGCAGGCTCAAGTGGCTTGAAAAATATGCCAGGAACATGCATATGTGCTCAGGATCCTCTCGCCCTCTCTTTCACATGCGCAGTCATGCCCTTTGCAAAAGGAAAAAAAAAAAGTTTTAAAGGTAAAATACAAAACAAAAGAAAAAACAGAAATGATAGGAGCCAGGACAGTGACACAGAAGTAAAACTGCATGCTCTACTCTGCAAAGCTTACCCATGTTGGAAAGTTCTAGATTGCCCACAGTCCAGTGCTGACTGGGGTTAGACTCTACTGGTGCATGCATGTGTCTCTCTCTTTCTCTCTTTCAAGGGAAAAATAAAGTTTAGAAAATATATAATTTTGCTTTTAAAAAGTGTAAGCTTTGTGGCCGGCAGGTGGCATGGTGGTTAAAGGCACCAGATTCCCATGTGGCCAATCACGGTTCAAGTCCCAGACTTGGTGGCTTGCTTTCTCACTTTCTCTCTTCTTTCTCTAATCAAACTGGAAAATAATAATAATAAATAAAAGTTAAATAAAATAATTCTTTTTATAAAAAGTTTAAGCTTTAGAATTATATTTTGTATACATTTTTAAATCTTACATGATGTCATTATATCACAAAAGTAGAATATCACTCAATATTCTGTATTTGTATTCATTTGATAAAACTCATTTATAGAAAACTACCTATAATGAAATCCTAGTATACATAAGGGTTTGTATCTGGAGATAGCAGTTTTAGTAAGTTCTTCTCTGCTAGTTTATTTCCCACTAGTTGATTACAAGATGAAGTAGTTAGCATATGTTTATAGGAATCATGTTGTATACAATATACATGCTAGAATCACACTCAGTCTGGCAGGTTGTGAGAGACATAGAAACTGAGATTGATTAAAAGAATAGCACTTACTTCTCCCATTTTAGCCTTGTGCCAGAGACACACTCACTGTTTGGAATCCTATGTAGATTTGCCTGCACCATTTAAATCCCCACTCTGTCTGTCTCTCTTGAGATACATAAGCTAAGTGTGCGTGTGATATAGCTCTACTCTGGCTGTTCTAGGCCTCAGGAATACAGAAATGAACAATTTAGGGCTCTGCCCCTGAGGAACTCAAGATATGTAAGTCTTTGCTGTGACACATTGGGTGCTTCCCTTCTTGAGCTGTATGTAAGAAAATAGCTTCTAGGGCCAGCAGTGGCATGGTGGTTAAGATGGCTGTACCCCACATGGCTATGGTTCGAGTCCCAGACTCTTTGGCTTGAGAAACACACTGGACACATGTATGTGTGCTCAAAATCCTGGGAGGAGAATGGAGGAAGAGGGATTCAGGTGTGGCATCTTCCTGGGGGGGATAATTTGTCACATTCTTTGTGTCTGTCTGGTGAGCACATGCACCTTACAACAAAACATGCAAAAAAGAAAGGAAGGAAGAAAATAATTTCTGTAGTGTGGAACAGAAATGCTAAATGCATTGTGAAATTGAAAAACTGTAGTGGAAAATGTGACATATAACTGTACTCGAGACTTTATAAGGTTTACCTAAAGTTTGTCAACTCAGGTTTCTGTGCCTCAAGACACTAAGGCTGAATATTTGCTAAAATAAGCCTAACCAAAGCATAAAGTGTGTTTGTGTTTATTCTTTCAATTTTGAGGCTAATTGTTGGCTGTACTCTTGGGATAGGACAACATTCTTCAATGAGAAAAACTACTGTCATTTAAGTAAACTATGAGATTGAGACACAAAACATTACTGAAGTTCTCACTTTCCCACAAAGTGGTCCTGGAATGTTGACTTGACTTAACTGTTCCATGTCTCTGCTGTCTCATCACTACTAGAGACCATCCCAGATGACCTCTAAAATCCCTTTTATTTCTATCACACTTTGATTCCAGAATCAGTCATTGGTGTTGGTGAACTCACAGAACTTTGGCATATGCACCATTCAGATTTTTTTGTCAGCTAATATTTTTTCTGCCAGAATGCTAAAGAATATTTATACATTTTAAAAGCGATTTCTTATTTTACGAAAAATTTTAGGGGCTGTTTTCCCCCTTCAGTCCTTCAATGGTTAAGTATATAAGTATGTATTAAATATGGGTTATATGACCAGCTTCCTGGGTGTAATACGTTGTTCAAGAGAAGCTAGATCCCTCGTGGCAACCACAGTTCAGATCCCCAGCCTGGTCAGCCTGAAACAAGTTGGGCACATACTGAATGCCCAAGATCTGACAGGGATTATGGCATGACTAGACCCTGTGGTCTCCCCCAACACTCCATTGCATATGCACATGCTCACTCTCACTTGTGGGCACACATGTTCTATCATGAATAAAGAAAAAAAGTGAATTATAGCATGTATCTAGCTTCCTTGAGATGTTTTCTTACCTAGAAAGTATACAATAATAGTATATTTTACAGGTTTTTTAAAATAATTTCTTTTTTTATTTAATTTTATTTATTCATTCATTCATTCTTAATTTGAGCAGAGAAAGACACACACACACACACAGGGAAACTGAGAAAGCAAGCCACCAGGTATGGGACTCGAACTGTGGTTGGCCATGTGGGAGTGTCCAGCACCTTAGCTACCACGCCACCTGCTGGTCCCAATTTTACAGTTTTTAAGAAAGCAAGTAAGATATAAAATGGACTATGTATGACAGAACATATAAATTGGGATTTAAATTTCGGTTGTATGTTAACTAGCTTATCTTTAAAAAATTGAAAGTTGGATGTAGACTCGATTTGGTTAGTTACTTTTCCATTCACATCTTAATAATTTTATTGTAGGACTGAAATGTAGCAGCTGTGAGCCTTTTCCAGATGGAGCCACAACCAACCTCTCTAGATCAAATTCAGATGAGAGCAGTTTTTCTGAAAAACTAAGAGCATCCACTGTCATGTATCATCCAGAAGGAGAGTCCAGCACAGCCCCCTTTTTTTCAACTGAGTCTTCTCTGAATTTGCCTGTTCTAGAAGTAGGCAGAACTGAAAACACCATCTTCTCTTCAACTACGCTTCCTAGACCTGGGGACCCTGGGGCTCCTCCTTTGCCACCAGAGTTGCAGTTAGAAGAAGAAGGAACTTGTGGAAACTCTAGTGAAATGTTTCTTCCCTTAAGATCACGTGCTGTTTCACGGCAATGACATTTAATTTTTTTAATAATGACAAAAGATGTCATTATTGAATCTTTTTATAAAACTGCTGTAGTGATTTATTTGCATTTGATGCATGTCTTTTAAAATGCGATGTAAGCATAGTTTGTAAATAGGATTTTGTAGGATAAAAAGCATATTTTCAGGATAGCTAAATGTGTATCATGTTGATCACATTATTTTCACTTTTTAAAGGAGATTTAGTACTTTTTCAAATTCTGTATGTTCTAAGACTAATTTTAAGGGAATATTTCTCTTTCTGAGACCAGATCCTTAGGCTGAGAATAATTTTTCTTGGCACTTGTGTTAGAATTTTTCAAAGTCTGGTAGTCCTTTCTAAACAGCAGTAAATGTTCAGCATTAAGCGTTTCTTATTTGGTAATAAAGCCGATCACTGATAGAAAAATTGCCAATGTAATGGAATCTTTTTCCCACTCAGTTGGTCTTACAGGAGCTCCTGGTGTTGGAGGCACACGTGATGAAATCTGAGCCACCTAAGATTTCAACTTGCCAAAATTTGTTTCTTAACAACCTTACTAATTAGTACTACTTCGATTTTTGCTTTCTTTGCTTTCTCATTTTGATTCTTAAAGAATAATATCTTGACATTAACCAGAGTTGTTACATGTAATTTGATGAGATTTTTAAGAGATACTTTCTCTGTCCTTTTCATCTCTCTTAATGAAGACCACTGTACAGTTGAAATAACTAAAACAGATTGCTGTTGGTATATGTATTTTGTTTTTAATACTAATTTGAAACACTGGGCCATTAACCATATTTTATTGTATAACAAAATTTTATGCATTTAAAATGTTATGATGTTTTCATTTAAATTATAATTCTGCTGTTTCCTGATAGCCATCTTCTATATTTTTCTATTAATTGCAAAAAAGCAGAAATGGAAATTTATTATTAACAATAAAAGTTTTTATAAGTTAGTGCTGTGTTTTAGAGTTTCAAAATTTTCAGTATGAAATATCTAAAACATTTTGAGATTTTTAAGCCTATAAAATCATTTTTTCCCATTAAACACCAAAAACTTGTCATTACCAAAGATGTCTAAATTAGGATGACAGAATGACCTGATGGGATGCAGTTTATTACTAGGTTGGGTAATGCAGCAGTTACTTTTTAGGGATATCATACGTATAAAACAAAGCCTTTGAACTTATTGCTTGTTACTTTTTTCAAAATAAATACTTTGGGGCCAGCAAAAGGTATAGTGGTTAAGGTGCTAGACTCCCACATGGATATCTACAGTTCAAGTCTCAGATCTAGAGGCTTGAAAATCATGCCGGGCACGTGTGTGTGCACCTGAAATCCTAGGAGGAGAATGAAGGAGGAGAGATTGCGATGTGGCCATCCCCGCTGGGGGGGTGATCTCTCACTTTCCCTCTCATCGTCTCTCTCTGTCTCTCTCCAGGAAGCAAATGTGCCCTATGGCAAAAACCTTAAAAAAATCATTTTAATTAAAATTAATACCCTTTTTTGGGGGTAGCAATTATAGATATATAGAAAACCTGAGAAAAACCTACAATTTCCAAATACTTGCTTATCCCCTGGTTTCCCATGCTAACACCTTGCTTTTGTATGACACATTTACTAAAATTGATGAACCAATCTTGATACATTGTTATTAACCAAAACCCCTAATTTACACTAGGGTACAGTTCTGTGGGTTTTGACAACTGCATAATGCCATCACAATATCATAGAGAATGGTTTCACTGCCTTAAAAATTCCTTGTGCTCTGCCCATCCTTTCATTGTCTATAATTTAATCTTTTTGTTTGAGTTTAAAAAATCACATTTGGGATTTTTTTGTTTGTTTTGATAAAGTTTTTGGTTTTAAGTCTAATTAGTTGATTTTTTCTATAGCTGGTGATTTTGTCTTCTGTTTAAGGTATTTTTGCCATCCCAACATCATGATATCTTTGTTTTCTTCTGAAAGTTTACTTGTTTAATTTTTGTACATGGTATATAAGTCAAGTCTTTTACTTAGTTAAGCAAAGTAATAGGAGCAGAAAGTTTCAGGCTCCAGCCTCATCTTATATCAGTGAATAAATATGTACACTAGATTTGAGGAAATCTAAAAAAAAAAAGGCAAGCCAATATTACATTTAACAATGTAATAGTACAATTACAATTATACAGTTGTTAAATGTAGTCTTATGGGGGGGTTCCAAAGGGAGAGCTGAATTTAAGCACCTATGATATACATAGGTAACTTGAGTGCTGCTCTTAAGTCTCTCTCTCAATTTGCCTTACTATTGATCAGAAATTGTCTTTTAAAAAAGTGATTGATTTATTTCTTCAAGAGAAAAATAGACAAGCACCTTTAACAGGGTGCCCTGCCACCTTCGACAGTCCACCTCCCAGCCTCAGCCGTCCCAGGTCACAGGCATGTGTCCAACATGCACAGAAAGGTCTTGGAACACCAGCCAGAGTCATGCCCCAGTGGACCCAGCATTGGAGAGTACTGTGCTAGTGCTGCCCATTTTAGAATTAACTGAGAACATTTTAAAGCTCCCAGTCTCCAGGGCCAGACCCATCCATCGCTTAGCGGTTAAGAGAGCTGAATCCAATATGGCCAACTGCAGTTCAAATCCTTCCCCAGGGGCTTCAAAGACACATCAAGCACATGTGCATGCATATCCACAATCCTGACTGGAAGGAAGAATGGAAAAGGCATTGCCGTGTGATCATGCCCTTTTGGAGGATGCTTTCTCTCTCCCTTTGGTGAAAAAGCACATGCCCTCTAGCAATTTAAAACAAAACCAAAAATAATCCCAGCTCCCGGCTGTATGTATCCCCAACCAACTAAATTGGGATGTTTGAGTGTTGAAGCTAGACATCAGATTTCCAGATGATTCGAATGTACAACAAAGGGGAACCACAGTCTTCCTGGATGCCAAGCACTGCGTTTGATGTTTCCATATGTGTGACCTTAACGTTAATCCCTATAATAACCCAGTAAGTTAGATTTTTCTGTTACTTTTTCTTTTTTAATGGGTGAGAAATAAACTCAAGATAAAGGATTTAAAATCACAGCTCTTTAGGATTAAAATACAGGGCTGTTTAACTCTTAAGACTAATATCCTTTCTACAGCTTCCTGTTTCCTCATTAGTTTTTCTTAGGATGGTATGTATTCTTTCACTCATTAGCTTAAGAACTACTTATTGAGTACCTATTCTGTTTACAGTGATAAACAGAACGAAGTCTGTTCTCATAAAACTCACATTCTTGTTGGGGGATAATGAAAATAAGCAAGGAAAACCAAGACACTGTAATTCTAGTCATTATGGTGATAACATAGGGCATGAACTAAAATTAACTTAGGAAAATAATTTATAGCAACAAGGAAGGCCTTTCAGAGCATTTGACTTTTGAACTGAGACTTAAATCATAAGGAAGCCATACAAGGTTTTAGGGGTTAAGAGTTCCAGGCAGAGTAACAGCACACAAGCCTTGAGACAGAAATGAGTGAAAGGAACGCCCAGGCCTGTGTGGCTGGAACATAAAGGTTGGGGTGACTGGGAAGTTCGGTGCCTGGATTCAGATGAAATTTCACAGATGGGCTGGAGTAGTCAAGAGTGGACCAGCATCAGAGCCTGAAGTAGTAGGTAAGAACAGGGTGAGTGCCAGCAGGGCAGTCCAAAGTAGCATGTCAGGTCTGAAGCAGGGTAGGTAGGACATCCACATGGGAAAAGGGCCAGCAATGATCACAAAAGATTGGCTGAATACATGGGGATTGATCAAATCAGTAAACATACTTAGGATAATGGGAACCAGATTTCTCAATGTTGGAGAAGAGAGTTAGGAATAAAGAAAGATAACTAAAAGGAACCCTGTAGTATTAGATTAAAATCGAAGGTATCAGTATGAACTCAAGGTCAATAAGTATGATAGGTACATAAATAAATGAATTTGTCCATTGAAAGAACCCAGAAACATCAGCCCCTCACTGATAATGAGCATACTTAGCACGCAGATATTGGCTTCTAAATGTCATTCTGCATGAAGAGTAATCAGAGTTCCTTGGTGAAATGGCTAATTCCAGGGCAACATAAAAGACAAGTTTAGAACATCTTGCTCCAGAAAGCAAGTGCTCAAAAAATGGTGGAGACATGTCCAAAGGATACAGAAGCCAGCTTGCAGGGGCTCTCACTGGCCAAACCAGTGATAATTTTGACATCACAATAATAGGGCCCAGCAGATGGTATAATGGCTACATTGCTGGACTCCCATCTAGTCGACCACAGTTCGAGTCCTGAACCCAGTGGCTTAAATTCACACTGGGTGCATGTGCGTGCATGTCCAAGATCCCAAGAGGAGAATGGAGGAGAAGGGATTGTGGCGTAGCCATCCCACCCGGGGGAGTGATTTTTCGCTTTCTACTTCTCTGTCTCTCTGTCTTTCCGGTGAACATATGTGCCCTATAGCAAAACAAACAAACAAACAAACAAAAAACACCTCTCATAATAACAACAATAATAATAATGGATTATGTAACTCAAATAAAATAGGAAACCATGAATCAATGTTAACAAATAAATAACACTGTTACAATTTAACAGACAAATAGGATATTTACATAGTCTCAAAATACCTCCCAACAGGACACATTAATTTAAAATGGAGAATAAAGTAACTTCCTATGGAGAGACCTGACAGCCTGTGCTTGTAGAGGAGCATGTCCTTGTTTCAGGAAATACGAACATGGGAAATAACTTAAAAGTTTAGGTTACAGAATATCATGTCAGCAACTTACTTTCACATGGTTTAGATAAGATTTTTTGTTCTTGCAATTTATACCTACAATTTTTAACAAGTGCAAGGTTTTCTTTTAATAATTATTTTATTTATTTATTAATTTTTTGAGAGATATTTTTTGCTATAGGGCGGGTGCGCTGCTGCAGAGACAGAGAAACAGAAAGCGAGAAACCACCCCCCTGGGGGATGGCCGCCTTACAATCCATACTCTTGGGATTTGGGGCACGTACACCCATGCACCCAGCATGAGTTTCAAACCACCAGGTCTGGACTTAAGCCACAGTCAACTACATGGGAGTCCAGCAACATAACCATTACACCATCTGCTGGTCCCTGTTTCATTTTATTTATTATTTTCTAATTTGACCAGAAAGAGACAGAGAGAGGGAAAATGAGAAAGCAAGCAACAGATTGGGGACTTGAACTGTGGTTGGCCTTGTGGAAGTCCAGCACCTTCACCACCACACCACCTGCTGACCCCTATGGGTGTTTTAATCTTTTAAATGTTAATATTAAATTTTAATATTTTAAAGGTTGTGAATGTTAAAAACAGTTAATTCAGAAAAGTATTGTAAGTGTCTAGGGAAAAGATGAGGGTAATAAAGTTAGAACTAGTAAAAGTGTTTGAATTGGTAATCCACTTTTTTATATTTTTAAGAGGTATTTTTTGTTATAGAGTTTGTGTGCTTGCTGGAAAGACAGACAGAAAGTAAAAAATCTCGCCCCTCCCCCCGAGGGGAGATGGCTACATGGCAATCCCTTCTCCTCTATTCTCTTCTCGGGATTTTAGTAACTCGTATACACGTGCCCAGCGTGACTTTTAAGCCGCTGGGTCTAGGACTCAAACCGCATTTGACTACGTAATCATTACGCCATCTGCTGGTCCCTGTAATTTATTTTAAATTTGGTATGATAGAGCTCGTTGTTCTTTTAGCACCTAGATTAATAATGGTGCAATTTAAAGAGGTGAGGAAGACGAGGGAGGTGTGGAGTACAGAGTGTGGGTGGACATATTTTTCAGTTAGCTATTGCTGCATGACATACGACTATGAATATCAAACTGGGCTGAACTTAAGTTTTATGGTTCTTCTGATAATCTACCCTGAGGTCATTCTCCAAATCTCCTAATGGCTAAATGGGTTTGATAATTCCAGGTAACTTCACTCACAAGTCTAAGACTTCAACTTAGATGCTGCACTAGCTCAGAGCTGGCTGAGGTTCTCCTAGCTTTATATATCTCTACTAGGGTAGCTAGACCTCTTTCCATCAACTTAGAATTCTCAAGAGAGCAAAAGCAGAAGCATTCTGTTCTTCAGAGGAAGTCATAAGGGCAACTCAAAGTCAAACAGAATCCACCCCACGATGGAAGGATTGGCACACATGCACAGGGACGAGAGAAGTTGTTAGAGGCCATGTTTATGAACAATCTATCACAAACATGCAAAATTTGAGGGGCTTGCATGATATTAAAGTAGTAATTGGAAACAAAAGTGTGGTGTTCAGAGACATCTGGACTGGTTATATAAATGTGGTATTTATTAGCATGAAATGGTATTTAAAATGATGGTGGTGTGGGGGTCAGCTCCATGGCCCTGTGGTCATGCACTGCTGAAGAGAAGCTAAATTTCATATGGCTACTGCTGTTTGAATTTAGGGTCCATTCAGCTGGAAACATGCTGGGCTGGGACCCAAGACATGGCAGGCCGGAGAACTGGAGGAAGGAGATTACTATATGATTAGACATTGTAGAGGGCGTTCATCTCTCTCACTCACGTGTACATGCATGTACTCCATCATAAATAAAGACAAAAATTATTGTATTTATTTATTTATTTATTTTATTTATTTTTTGGAGAGGTTTTTGCTAGAGGGTGTGTGCTCTCGCCAGATAAACAGAGAGAGACAGAGAGACAGAAAGCAAGAAATCACCCCCCGGGGGATGGCCACACTGCAATCCCTTCTCTATTCTCTTCTTGAGATCTTGGGCACACACACATACACCCAGCATGAATTTAAGCCACCAGGTCCAGGACTTGAACTGCGATCGACTACATGGGAGTCCATAGACAGAGCCATTACACTAACTGTTGGTGGTCTCAAAGACAAAAAATTGTTAAAGAAAAAGAAAAATCATGGAACTTGATGATTTCAACTTGAAATGGAGCATAGACAGAAAAAATGGCAGGGCCAGGACAGAACCTGAGGTGCTCCAATATCTAGAAGTAAGACAAAGAAGCAAACAGTAAAGAAAACTGAAAAGGGCCCCTTGAGATAGGAAGATAAAGTATAAGGTCCAGTGAAAGACTAAAGAAAACAGTGTTTCAAGGAGGAAGCCTATTCTGTTGAGTGGTCATGTAGGAAGTGTCATACAGAGGCAGCTGGTAGCTCTGAGAACAAGAACTCACATTGCTCAAACCTGGATTACTCAGAGGCACTTCAGAGTGAGTCAGTTTTAAAAGCCACAAGGTAAATGTGGTTATCTTCTTACAGTGTCAGCTTTGCTCGATAATCTTGAAAAATCTTGAATATTTTTTTATTCATTAAACTGAAAGAGCTTGGGGTCGGCAAGTGGTGGTTAAGGCACTAAACTGCCATATGAATTACCACAGTACGAGTCTCAGACCTGGTGGCTTGCTTTCTCACTTTTGCTAGTCAAACTGAAAAATTATGATAATAAATAAAATAAAAGTAATAATTCCTTATTAAAAATGAAAGTGTTATATAGAGAGATCTTCAAAAAATTCATAGAAAATGTGTATTACAAAAACAACTATGCATGGATTTCAAAACTTTCTTACACCAAAAATATTTCATGATTTAATTTTATTTTTTCTGCAAACTTTCTGAAGTACCCTTGCCTTAGGGACAACTATGCAAAATCTGCATAATTTTCAAGACATTAATATTATATTTTTAGGGACCAGCAGTGACTTAGGAAGGCAGAGTCAGCGGATTGCTAGCTCAAGGCTGACCTGGGCACCATAATGAAACTCTATTGAAAGATAAAAAACCAGACATGGTGGTATGCACCTGCAGTCCCACCTGGGAGGCTAAGGCAAGAGAACTGCAACAAGGATAAACGCTGATTTTTAAAAATAAATAAATAAATAGAATGTTAAAATTTATGCACATGGGACTTGTGGTCACACTGTATCAACTCAGTCTCTGGAGGGGCTGGAGGCTAAGGTCAGCCACATGGGCAGTAAACAATGTCTGTATGGCCCAGCCTCAATAAAAAGGCATGGGTGAGCATCTCTGGTAAATATACCAGGTATATTGTCACGTATCTTTGCCAGGAGAAGCTAGTGCTGTCCACTACTCCATCAGGAGAGGACAACTGGAAGGTTTCAATGTGGAGCTCTCCTAGACTCTGTGCCATGCGCAGTTCCCTTGGTTGACCTTTTTCTGTACTCTTTTGCTATAATGAACTTAGCCATAAATGCGTTAGCTATAGCTATGATTATAACAACTTTTAGCAAGTTCTGAGTCCTTCTAGTAAATCATCAAGACTGAAGGCATTTTAAGGGACCTTGAATTGGTGTCAGAAGTGAGGATGGTTTGGGGGGCTCCTAAACTTTGCAGGTTGGGACCATCATTTTCCTTTGTCAACATAGGTATTTAGATGGAAAACCTTGAGAAACACTGATCTAGACTCACACTGTCAGAAATGATAACCACCAATATTTATTGATCATCTACTCTGTGATAGGCACTGAGCTAGGTACGAGGGATATAGCAATGAACAGAGCATAGTCTAGCTCCTCACTTCACAGAGCTCATAGACATTACCCTACAGAACTTGGGAAAGAGGAGCAAACGAGAGACCTATTCCAGGTAGGCCCTGGAGCCTACCTCCAGTACCTCCAGGGAGGAATCGCAAGTTATAATGAGTGAGGATCATCTGAATGAGCAGTAATTCGGAAGCAGGGTCTAAATATTTATACTGATACCAACTTCAGTGGGTATGAGTCCCTCTAAGGACTCAAAGATTTCTAGTTTCCCTGGTGACTTGGCCCATGGTATGTTATTTACTAAGAGAACACAAATTTAAAGAGAAGTTATATGAAAAGGCAAATTACTGCTCCAATAAATAGGTGTTTGAGGCCCTAGCAGGATTCCATATGGGAAGTTTCAGAGCCAGGTGGAGGTGAGGTCTACAGTTTGGGAGAAAAAACTGTGGTTGGAAACTGAGATTTGGGAGTTGTAAGCATAAGGCAGTTAATACCATACAAAGGGATGGGCTGACTTGCAGCTTTGTAACATTCTCTAGGGAATGTCAGTATTACTAAAAGATAGTATACTATGTCAGGAAACACCACAGTTGAAGGTTTATATAGGGCAAAGCAAGCACCAGAGAGGCTGACGATGAGAAGCCAGTTTGGAGCATGCCCAGAGAGGACATCCAAAAGGAGTATCATCAAAGACAGGCTGTTCAGAGTGCACGTGACTGAGGTCAAGCAGGAAAGGGTTACGATTTTGACCTGGAGAGGCTGCCCCCCTTCCACCCCGTTGTCTATGGCAATGCAGAGAAGCACACTGAGAGGAACTGGTACCCTGAAGAAAAGACATGGGGGATCGGAAAGAATTCCTCGTCTCTGGGAAAGAGCTAAAGTGGAGCGACAGTAAAAAGACAAAATTCTTAGCCCTTCCGTGTCTTAATAATGTTTACTCAATATGAAGGGCTGGCCAGGTCCACGGGCTCAGGACCTCATCTCTTTGCAAGAAAGACTCGCTGACCGGTCTCCAGCCGCAGTCCCAGTCCGGCAGCAGGAGCGCGGAGCAGCCGCCAGGGGGCGGTGACTGCAAGCCTGCTGGCCAGGCGCGAGGCGGGGCCACCGGGGGGCGGGGCCTGGGGCAGTTTCCGGCTTCCGGTAGCGTCCCTAGTCGTCGCGCGCCGGC